TTTTAATTATAATTTCATGTTGTTTTTATGTTAAAAAAAATTAAACAATAATAAAAACAGAGAAAACAAACTGTCTGCAACCCTTAGAAGTCAAATAACTCTAGAAGACTTAGAAAAAATCTACTAGGACTGTGACAATGTTGGATACAAAGTTTTGAGTGCTAGTCAATTGCACCTTCTTATGTTTATGATGACCACAATTGTGCCTTTAGTAGTCAGAAAAGTAGGTAGCCTTTTGATAAATTTGTTTTTAAGTATGGAATACGAGTTCATTGTAGAATTTAGTTAGGGGAGGTCATAACTGATGTTTAGGATATAGTACAATTGGAAACACTACATATGCAAAGAAGCACACCAAAGTGTGTAGTTGAAGTAAGCCAAAGTGCACTTCTTGAATAAGTTCCTGTGCCTGAAACTGGAGGAACAAGTCATTGTAATAAGTTCATGTACCTGAAACAGGAGGAACAATATGCCTTCACCATTAGTACTAGGTTAGACTCATTACAAGTGAGATCCCGCCAAGGGAAAAGATGGATCATCTACCTAGCTTATCAATAAAATGCATGTGTGTTCCTAAGTATAAAAGGCTAAAAATAGAACAGTCAAAATCCCCTACTGAAACTGAAAACTGAATTCTTGGACCATAGGATAAGGCAACCAAAGTTAAATCTAGGCTAGCTATCTTAACTGAAGAGTATTGGAGTGACAAATAGCATCAGTAATACACAAAACACACACACACGCCCCCCCCCCCCCCCCCCCCCCACACACACACACACACTTATGATCTAGCTTCAAAGCTGAGTTGTGCCAATCTTTGAAAATAATCCTTTGAGATGATTTTTGGGTTGAAGGTGAGTTTGTGCTTCCTGAAAAGGTGATTGTTTGGAAGGAAAGTTTCTCTGACGTTATCTGTTGCATCACCTTAGGACATGTAATGATTCAAGTTTGGGAGTGTGATAACCCATAATTTGTGAGTTATTACATACCTTAGTTTTTCCTTATTTCTAATTTATTGCATCTTATGCTGTTACTTTTAGTTCATTTTGGTTGTTTTATAGTAATTAGCTTAGAGCACAATATGTGCTCCCTTTTATTGGTTTGATGTGTTTGTTGCTTGGTTTAAGGTTAACTCTGTCGAGTTAAGGAAGGACTGCAGTGGATAGAATTTGGGAGCGCGAGATGAAGCAGAATGATGAGCTCAACCAAAATAGAAAAATGGAAAAAGCAGTTGGGTTCCTAGGGAAAACGTGGAAGGACTGATGTATTGGAGGGAATCTTTACTTTGTATAAAAGGAAATTTATTTGAATCAAGAGGATAAGACCAAAGGGTGCTAGAAGACAAAAGATGGTATAATAGTACAACCACTACAATATGCGCTATGTAGGAAAAGGACATTGCCGCCAGCACCCTGTTGTGGCAATCTGTCACAAGACACCTTGTCTCCCATAATTGTCCCTTTGTACCTGATTTCTTGCATGCTAAGCAGAGTAATAATGTGGAGGCATTGATTCATGTAACAGACTTGATTTAATTTCCTTATTTTTGGCCCATGATCCAAGACATCATAAGGAACCTCAGTGAAGGCTTATAAATAGACCCTGATGAGATTGAAAAGGGAGTTAAGCATTATTCTAAAATACAAGACAAAAGATAATAGTGTAAGGTCAGTGGAGAGAAAAGAGAGAGAGTTTCTTCTTCTCCTCTTCCCTGTACCAGCTGTTGAGCCCAAGTCATATCTTGCTGATTATCCATCTCAAGGAGTCTTCAAGTTATTCTTAGGTTTACATTTCTTTTTCATTATTTGTTTAAGAATGCATCTTTTGAGAACCATGTCTGTAATTTGTAGTCAGTTCATAATGAGTTAAACCTTTTGTATGTTGAGTAATAAAAAGTTAATGTTATGTTGTTTTTATGTTAAATGATGTGTTATTTAGTGCCTTATTTTATTATGTGTTAACTTGTTTACACATCTGATTCTTTAAGTGATCAACTTAGAAAAAGATAATATCTTATTGTTGTGAGAGATCCAACAACAAGTGGATTTCATAATAAAAGTAGTTGAAAAGAGTAGGATAAAGATATTCACTTGAATAATTCACTTAGAGATAAGGAACTACAACTATAAAGAATTTCAGAATACAAATAAACGCGTTTTAGGGTTATAAGTGTGACTTATAGATTTGTTCCCTTGCTCTATTCATGCATGCTTAGATGTTCTAGAAATACACCTCTAGATCACTCTGACCTTTAATGGCACGACATTACACATCATGAACACATAAGTTACTTCATTAGCATTAATGGATATTGGCTTAACATGCACTCTCTTGATATCATTTTACTCTCACCTTGCATTGTTTAGACCAAGTTTAAAAAAGAAAAAATGGACTTGTAACATTCATATATTATTTTTATCCTTGCTCATGCTTAAGTTAAAAAGATAGTTTCTTGTAAAATCAACCTAAGTAACATTCACTCCCAGTGGGTACAATATCCTTACTTTTCATCACTTGCCACTTTTAAACATAAATGTATACTTGAATGTGACACATTTTTAAGCAACAATCCTTTCTTCGCCAAAATCAACTGGAGCCAGACGTGCCACACTAGCTAGAACATCATGTCCAACATGTGTTCATACAATGTTGTTTTGCATAATGTAGCCAATGCAAAAGGAACAACATTTTCAAATCACCTCTTTCACTTATAATTTCATATAAATTCAATTTATTTCAAATGTTCATACAACATTAACAATGAAACTTTGTGTATCACTTTCATATTATTCAAAGAGTTTCATTAAAGTTTTATAAACACTTAAGGTTATTTTATTTGAATTGTACATTGAAAGAGAAAATCAATTTTCTGTATTGGAATTGATTCAAAAACATTTCATATATTAAAAATCTGTTTTGATCACCAAGTGTGTGGTGACAATTATTTGTAATGGAAAGTGACGTGCTTTCTAAGTGTTGTAAACAAAAGTAGCATACTTTCCGGTTTATGTGAGAATCATCATAGTGTTTGATGATTTTGGAAAAAGGTCTTTTGATTCGGGGAGATTCAAAGTCCACCATAGGTTTGACGTTTATTATAAAAAATTGTAAGAGAGGTTTTGGTGCGATGCTTATACAAAGATCTAACATAGTGAAAATACTTCAAGGTGTGTGAAGGGAGTGAACTACCCTTGTTTGGAAAGGGAAACCAGGATATACATTTATGTCATTTACTTTTACGCCATTTATTTTTGTGCATTTTTGTTATAAGTTCATCATCATAATTTCGAAAAAATAAAAAGTAAAAAACATTTGCAAAATGACGAGAAAAAATCATAAAACCTAATTCACCCGCTCTAAGGTTGCATCTCATAGTTACATAGTTGTGCCAACGAGGACATGCTATGGTGTGGCGGCTTGATTCCCTCGGGAGGCTTCCTACCATACTTTGACGTCCCTTGGTGGAACATATTGAAGGTTTTCTTCAATCTCGACTATTCCATAGTCCTTGAATTGTGAGTTAGATTGGTGTACTAGGTTGTAGATGATGTTCACCAATATCTAAGATTTTCTTACAATAGTTGAGAGCTTGTTAGCATTTCTTATCTAGATACAACAGGTTGAGAATGAGGTCAATGCAATGGTTCGACCTAATAAGGTTGTTGTGTAAGCCTGACGAACGAGCGGGTCTAAAATGCTCATTGGTCAACTCTTGGAGGAACTGAGTCTTGTTGCGTAGGGCTAAATGGAAATGCCACCAAGACTGGATCGTCTTTCACCAGAGAAGGGGGAAGAAAAGGCGAAGCTTTGGCAATTTCAGCTTCAACAACAACAATTTGTCTTTGAGCGACGGATCAAGTCACTTTGGATGTCACCATGCTCGATGAATCTGATAATAGATCTGTGTTAAGAGGAGACTAAAACTTCAAAAAAAAAATACAGGTAATCTGAATCTTCGATGAATAAACATTTGTTTTCTGTGGAAATTAGCAGGAATTAGAAATCAATTAACATAAACAATGCCATTGTTTTGTTATGAAGTAGATGTAGAAGACGAAGCAGTGAAATTACGTCTAACAATAATGGAACTATACTTCTGATGTGACAAAGTAAAATGAACCTGCAAAGTAAGCACTCCAGTGCTCAAGTTAATGAAAAAATCATAATTAATGTGAGAGTGAAGATGAACTGAAATACTAGAAAAGACGCGATTGCACTCTTAAATATCAAAAGCTATTGAAATCATTCACAAGTGATGCACCGTGTTTGACACACAACCATCTAATTGAATTGGACAATAATCAATGCGCTGGAAAACAAAATTGTCTGCTTCTAATCAAAATGGAGATCTACTTGTTCTCCATACCCTTTTTATTTATAATTTGCTCTTGAACTTTTTTTAACATAGATCATAACGACCCAAAAATCGTTTGATTTTAAATATAAATGCGCAACTATTATAAAAACGAGAGCATTTTAAGTTTTTTCCTTACATCCAAATCACTTAAAACAAGAGTATATTTTCTACTATGGAGGCTATCTCACTTTTCTCCCTATTAATTCATTTTTAATTAATCCTTGCTTGAAATGCCTCACTTATTGTAAGAAAAATAATATTTTATTACTAGTTCCATGAGTCAAATAAAAAAAAAAATTTTACGTTCAAAATAGACAGAAGAAACGTGCATTTATTTCAGTTTAATTCGACCGGCGTTATAAACGAAGTCCACTTAAACGACACCGTTTCGCTTTGGAAATTCATAGAAATAACGTTGTAGGAACAGAAACAGAAAATCATCAACACTGCAACCCCATCTGAAAACCCATCTCCAACCTTTCCCTCATCACACTGTAAGCAATTTGTTTCTTCATTTTTACTTTCATTTTCTAAGAATCTGAAATTATTTAGGGTTTTCAGTATTGAACAGTGTTTTTCCCCTTTTCTGTGTTTAATTTGATAAATAATGATAATAGTATTGATAATTTTGCAGTGGAAGAAGATGGGTTCAAAATCAGTGACTTTAACCTTTGAGGATGTGGCTAAGCACAATCACAAAAAGGATTGTTGGATCATAGTCAACAAAAAGGTAATTTTTTAAAATCTTTTTTGGTAATTTTTTTATTGATCTGTTTTAATTTATTGATCTGTTTTAGTTTCTCGGATGAATCTGATGTGAACTGCTACTAATTGCTTGCGATACATTTTATTGAGTAGAAGACTATTTCTTTACTTGATTTGACTGAGAATGATTTAAGATATGAATATGATCCTTGGTAGTTTGATTTTGACGGGGTTGAAAAATGGGGTTCATTAGGATTTTAAATTGATATCCTTGAAATTGCGGAGAATTGTAGTTTAATGCAGTCAATGCGGTCTCGATAGCTATATTGATAGCTATCAAGTTGTGGTTTGTGGCCCAGATTGGGGTTGTGGACCTTAGTTTAAAACCCTGGATTCAATATACATTTAGGAAATTTATGCTGTAGCCACAGTCAATTGATTTGTCAATGAGTTTTTGTTCAACATTAATCTGTTTTTCAGTTTTTTTTTTTCCTTTCATTTTGCTATGAACTTGTGTTTGGGCCAATTTTTTCTACACGCACAACAATCAGATCTTTATTTTCTACTACAAATATTCCCAGAAATTATAATTTTTTATTTTTGAATTTATACTGGCCAAAACATACCAATTCAATTTTCACTCAAAATTAATACATTTCGAACAACAAAAACAATTTCTTGAAATTCTAACCTCGTTTTCTGAAATAAAAAACCATCAAAATATGTTTTCCATGATATTAACGTTCTAATTATTTTGCATAAGGGGAGTTTTTGTTACTAAGGTTGTTGTAGTTAATTTGGGAGAACATTGTGGTTAACCTTGTTTATGGCGTCTAAATGCTTCGAAAACATTTGGCTTATTGGCTTAACTTATTTGCTTTTCAAGCAAACCAGGGTTGTAAAATAACTGATATAGCTCCGTTATATCAGAGTTTGGGGTTAACTTTATGAAATCCGAAATAACTGTCTTACTTCGCTACCACTGCAGCTGCGGTGGGTTTTTACACCAGTATAGTGGAATAAGGTATTGTAATGGGGAAGTCATCCGTCTCTCTATCTAGGCGTGCTCAAATAAGTTATTTAAATAATCCATATCCAAATTCGGTTATTAAAAACCGGTTAATTATTAGTATGGTTTTAATCAAATCTATATTTTGGATATATTTTTAATATGGTTTTAACTAAATCCATTTGGACATCCATATCCAAAATAAAAATCAAATTAGTCAATTTTTTTAATTAAAAAAAAACTTCAAAAATTTTTTTCAAAAAAAATATTGTTTTAATTTTTTTCCAGTAAATATAAATTTTTCCCAAAAAATTTTAAGAAGTTATTTATTTTTAAAATTTTAAAATAATTATTTTTTTTTGAACATCAATATTTTTTTAAAAAAAAAATTATGATTTTGAAAAAATCAATTTTAAAATAAAATTAATTCAAAACTAATTATAAAATTGGTTATGGATATAACCGGTTAATAAGCCGTTTATAACCATTTTAAAAGATAAAAATCGGTTATGAGAATTGGTTTTAATAACCAGTTATAACATATGGATTATTTATGGTTATGGACATTAACCATCCATGAGCACCCGTAGGAGAGACGGACGATTTCCCAATTACAATAGATTTGCACCAAAGTTCAACCCTAAGCCCCTATCTTTTTACTTTAATTTTGGATGTACTCAGGGAGCGCATCCAAGAGCTAGCACCGAGATGCATGCTTTTTGCTGATGATATAGTCTTATTGGGAGAGTCGAAGGAGGGTTTAAACGAGAGGTTGGTGACTTGAAGGTGAGCTTTAGAAACGCATGACTTTCGCCTATGTAGAGGTAAGGTGGAATATATGGAATGTAAGTTTAGCAAAAGGAGAAGCGTTTCTAACCTAAAGGTAAAAGTTGGAGACCATATCATCCCACATGTCACGTGGTCTAAATATTTTGGGTCTATAATACAAAACGATGAGAAATAGACGAGGATGTAAACCATCGAATTCAAGTTGAGTGGTTGAAATGGAGGAGAGCTTCTGAGATTTTATGGGATAGAAAGGGTACCGCTCAAGTTGAAGGAAAGTTTTATCGGACTGTGGTAAGACCTGTGATGTTGTATGGGGCAAAATGTTGGGTGCTTAAGAATCAACATATGGAATAAAGTAACTGTAGCAGAGATGAAGATGTTGCGTTGGACGTGTGGTGAGACTAGACATGATAAGATTATAAATGACAATATTAGAGAGTGTTGGGGTAGCACCTATAGTAAAAAAACTGGTGGAGAATAGACTCGATGGTTTAGACATGTAGAGAGAAAACCTTTAAATTTTCTGGTAAGGAGAGTAGATCAGATGGAGAGGGGTCAAATAGTAATAGTTAGAGGTAGAGGAGGACATATGAAAACTATAAGAGAAGTTATTAAGAAAGATCTTGAGCTTAACAATTTAGATAAAAGCATGGTTCTGAATAGAACATTATGGCGGAAGTTGATCCATGTAGCTGACCCCACTTAGTGGGATAATGCTTGGTTATTGTTGTTTAGTGGAATAAGGTATTTGTAGCAGTTAAGTGATGAGTTAGTGAGATGAGGTATATTATATGATTACCTAAACCTCACGATTTTGAGCAACATAACTCACGCATGTCCTCCACAATCCGCCTCCGTGTCTATCTCCTTCACTTCTCAGTTAATTCGTTCTCATTCTACTCTTCTTTTGCTGTCTCTTCTTCTTTTCTTTCCTATTCTTCTGTTTTGTCTCCTTTCCCTCATACATTTTTTCTTCTCTTTTGTCCTCGATTTTTGTTGTTGTTTTCTTTCATCTATCATTCTATTTTCCCCATATTATTTATTTTTCATTCTAATCCCCTTCCCCTGTTTGATTTATTTATTCTTCTTTTGGAAAATCAGTAAAGAATTTGACGACATTGATTCGATGGATTAAATTGAAGAAGTTGAAGGATATGTCTCACTATTTGAAAATGAGGATAATGATTCTGTTGGGGAAGAGGAGAATAATTAGATCTTATCTCTTATCACTAGTTAGCCTACCAATTATTAGTTGTTTTGAACTATTTAGACTTTGAATTTTAAGTCACTTTTAATTTCTTTTTCTGATTTTTTGCAGCAATTATGCGACTATGCACCATGTTTTATTAGTTATATAAATGATGTCAATTCTTTCCGTATGAAATTCATTTAAAAGTGGATAAATTACAGGGTTTGAGGCCACAAACCTGGACAATACTTATCACGTCTTTAAAAATTGAAATGTCTTTTTTTATTTTTAACATTTTGGCATTTGCAACATTAAAAAATATGCAAATTATTTAGATAGTTCAAATCCTCAGTTTGTTGTGGGAGGTTAATCTTACTCAGTATATTAGAATCCTATTTCTGTCCAGCTGAATCTAGATCCTTTAAGTCGAATGCTGTCCCACTTGCTTCTCCCGTCACTCTTTAGTAACTACCTGCTTTGAGCCTTGTGATATATGCATTGATTTTTAACTCAATGCTCTTTTGTAAAGTTCGTTACTAACTATATTGTGATTTTTAACTATAATGCTAGGTCTGGTTTTGATATTTAGATTAGTAAACTCTTACGAGTTTGACGATATTAGTAACCAGCTGTTAATAGATTAATCTTGCCCTGTCCTCTATCATGGTAACCTAAGTCCCCCACACTGAATCTTACTCAGTATATTAGAATCCTATTTCTGTCCAGCTGAATCTAGATCCTTTAAGTCGAATACTGTCCCACTTGCTTCTCCCGTCACTCTTTAGTAACTACCAGCTTTGAGCCTTGTGATTTATGCATTGATTTTTAACTCAATGCTCTTTTGTAAAGTTCGTTACGAACTATATTGTGATTTTTAACTATAATGCTAGGTCTGGTTTTGATATTTAGATTAGTAAACTCTTACGAGTTTGACGATATTAGTAACCAGCTGTTAATAGATTAATCTTGCCCTGTCCTCTATCATGGTAACCTAAGTCCCCCACACTGATTAGAGTAGAAAAATCCTCTATCTCTGGTTAAATATTTTCAAATTCAGTCACTAACTTGACCTGTAACAAGCCCTGTTTCTGAAGTAAGGAGTTTAAAAACAATGCATTTATTAATTTTTTTTTATTTGAGCAGTTTAGTTCTATGTTTGATTTAACTTTATTTTGATGAATGATGTGTGTACACATATTGAGTGAATAAGTCATATCCTCTTGTCTCAACTTTACATCAAAAAGTTTGTTTATTTTAAGATGGGTTAAAGTGCAACACCTATTTACTTAAATTAGATTAGTGTAATTTAAACATCTCTTAGAGGAGGGTAATGTAATTTACTCTAAGCACTTGGGGTGTTAGCTTCAAGTAATTTAAATTCATTTTTGGAATAAATTTCCCAGAAATGTAATGATGGAAATTCTATTCCGAGGTTCTTTTGAGAATGCATGTAAATTTCATTGCCATCTGATGAGAATCATTTTTCTAACCCCTGCGATGAGAATATAAATACATTGGAAGTGCAGAGGTTATTCTATACATTTGTATTTGTATGTGTTTCTCTAATATGGAGGGAGTACATGGAGGCCAGAAAGCATCATTTGCAGCGGCGGTGAGTGTGTACATGGATGGGCGGGACATGCGCGGTAACCATTATATTTGGTGGTATTGGTTGGGTGAAGATTTTCTCCCTGAACTAAAGGCAAAACCCACCAATGCGAGCTCCATGATGCACAAATATCATGCTCCTGATATTAGCCATGCTATATATAGGGGTGGCAAAACTAGCCCGGTCCGCCGGACATGTATGTTTTGCTTGCATTTGTGCGCAGGGCGGGACAAGGTTTTAGGCCCGAACCCTCTTTTTGCCCGCCCTCCCCGTTTTTTTTTTGCGGCTGTTGGCATTACAATTATTTTTTCAACTTTTAGCCTTAAGAGTGCAAGGTCCACATGCCTGCCCTGCCCCACCCCACTCATTTATTTACGGGACGGGTCAAGGTTTTAAGCCTGCACTCTCAACTATGCTCGTCCCCCGTCCATTATTTTGCGGGCTATTAGGGCGGGCCTAAACGCGACTGGCATATCAGCCGACCTATGGACCAATGGGATCTTCTTTTAAGAATATATTACTTTGGATATTACCATTGAGGTCGAAGTGCCACACATAACTGATATATCAGCTAAAATCAGGTGTCCAAGTTTTGACCAAATGTAACGGCCTCCCATTTTTTTATTGGAAATGGATTCTCTCCTGCACATTGCCTTCTAGCATCTATCATGCACCTAATCCAACAGCCAACAAATCTTAAAAAGAATTAAAAAATATAAGTTGTCATGAAAACCAATCAACACGGGATATCATCGCAGAACATGTGAGACCAGCAGGAGACGATCCTGTTTCTTTTTTATACCCAAGAATAACTCACTATCCCTATAATAAACATATCCGTTCATTCATGTGAATGTGTTTTAGTTAAATGAAACAAACATTCTTACTCTCGATAGATGGCGAGTTTGATAGAATTACAGTGCCCACTTTGATTTTAGCTAAAGCTGTTGAGCTTCAGCAAATTCACAATACCGCTGCGATTTCACCAAACCTTTCGTTCATCCAAACAAACTTTAGATTTCAACTTTTATCATTTTTATCGATAGTAGGAGTATACACAACAAAATATTTTTCTAACTTGCATTCCATTGTAACAGGTATACGATGTTACTGCATTTTTGGATGATCATCCAGGAGGTGATGAGGCTTTACTGTCTGCTACAGGTAATTAGTTTCTCAGTCTGTTCATGTTATTAATCTGCAAGTTAACTATTTAGAAAACTGCAAGTCTCACATAGAATGAAAATAAGGTATGAAATGAATCGATAGAGTGTCACCCCTGATCTCACAAGTCAGTGCTTTGGCGTGATGGGGTGAATTGGAAAAAAACTTGAATCTCACACCTAATAGAAGAGAATTATCTCAATATATAAACCTAACAAAAACTCGATCAGTAAGAAGAAACTGAGAAAGTAATACAAAGACTAAGAGTCTTGTGGTGTTTTACACAGGGAAGGATGCCACCTTGGATTTCGAAGATGTCGGCCACAGTGACTCAGCAACAGAGATGATGGAACAGTACTTTGTTGGTGAGGTTGATGCCGCCACACTCCCAGCAGAAGCTAGGAACAATCAACCTCCACCAATTCAAACAACCACCTTAAACAACGAATCTTCTGGATTTCTTTTTAAGTTCTTGCAGTACTTGGTGCCATTGCTGATACTAGGCTCCGCATTTGCTCTGCAGTACTTTGGGAAAAAAAGCAAGTCCAATGAATCATAAAAACTGAACTTGAGCTTTGGTTATAGTTTTAGACTTTTACTAGACCTATATTATTATTATTATTCATAATAATCTATAACTATCAACGCAGTATAATATCATAAGGCACTGTTTTTGTTTTTTTGGACTACAATTTAAATAATGTGTTTCGTTGTGTCTCAATAACATGCAGAGAGCTTGTGTTCTTGATTTGATATGTCTCTTGCTTGATACTAGCTGTTTATTTAGTCTCAGATCTTACATCGCATGAATATTTTGGAATGGATGTGACTTATTTATTATTCTTGGGCTGGGCTACAACATTGAACTACAAATTTCACCTTTGTTTATGATATCTACAAATTTAAACTTCAATTTCAAATATGATGCTCATTCAAAATATTTTGAACTTGAAATCAAATAGACTTTGCATTTGTTTGCTTCTACATTTCAAGTGCTCTAGTCTGTGTTTCGGTGGCAAAACGGGTTTGGCTTCCCCTCCTCGCCCTGTTTTTTATGGGCGCGAAAAACTGTTGCAATTTAAATTTTTAGGAGTGCAATGTATGTACGGATGCCTGGTCCCCTGGTCCCGTCTTGCCCACATTTTTGCTTGTCTGACTAATATTTTAGGTCTGCATCCTTTTGTCTCGATCTATTCAATTATTTTTAGGACAGACCTAAATGGAGCATACATATCTATTTACTTCTTACTTCGATGGCGGTGTTTTGAGACACCACGACCGCACCGCCGCATAGCCAAACAAGCTATAACTTCATCGCTTGAAGAAGCTAGTAACCAAGCATATTCTTCCTAAGAATGAAACCCATTGACCACCTGAAAGAAATTCTTGTCACATTTTCCTCTTTTCTCTTTCAAGCACTTAACTTTTCTCAAGGAAATCATTTTCCATATTGAACAATCACTTTTAGAAACCCACAATAGATCTAAGGATTAGATGAAGACATTATAAAGTCACAAGATTTGGTCCCAACCCTAATGTATATCCATGACAAAATGTGTCATTTTGTTGTAGACATCATTGGACCCCTCTTTCTCCTTTGCAAAGCTAGAGATCCATAGGTAGACGCAAAATCTTGTTTGTCCCACTTTGTTTGGCCCAAATATTAACTCATAATTAGTAACAACACAACCCACCAATCAATTTCTTCCATCATCACTTCAAATATTTTGTTGGAGTCACCTTCATCTTTCAACTTTATATTGTTTTCATAAATATATACACATTTAATAATTCTAAGTCTTTTCATCATAATACATAACTCCTTTTTCCTTTCAAATCTTTTTTTTTTTATCTCTAAGTTTCTTTTTCTTTCACATAATTAAAGGTTTAAAAAAGATGGACACGATTTTAGATTTTTCTCGATGGAACATGAACATGATAAAGACTATTTAATAGCCTTTTTATAAAATAATTTTTTTTTTCATTTTTGTGATGGATAAGGTTATTTTTTTCATGTCTTTTGATGTTATGTATAAAGTTTACAATACTATATTGGAGTAGCTTTTTTACAACTAGTGTAAAGCTAGGCTAATTTGTTTTTTTCTTTTTAAATAATTTCAATAAAGGAAGTGATCTTTTTCTCTATCCTAATGCGGTGAAATAATTTTATTAATTAAATTATTAGTTTATTATACCATGCCAAATTATATAAAGTGACATAAGATTAAAGTGTAATAAATATATAAATTATGTATCTGATCCTAATATTTGATTATATACATTTGTGTTATTTGATTGTAAAAGTTCATGAATAGTTGAAGATAAGTTTCACTCCATGGTTTTAGGTTGTAAAGTTCATAATTTCAAAGATTATTAAACAAATTTTTCCTGCTAATATATTTAGAAATATAGTTACATGAATTTTTTTTGTTGATAAAATTCACTAATATCCTTCAACTAGAATCAATCATGTTTAAAGTCATAGAAAAGGGACTTTCTCGTGGGATTTTTTTTTCTTCCAGAAAAGATCAAATGAGAGATCTTCCAGTATTTATAAATATTCTCTTCACTTGTGGACCTAGCATAAACTTATCAATCCCATCTTAAATGAAATAATTGTACACCTGTTGCAAATTAAATATAATTATTTTGAAATTTATGCAGATACTTTTTGTGGATTAGTTATGTAAAAAAATAAAAAATTAATATTATGACAATATACTTTTTTTTTATAGATTTTTACATCGTAAATGAATATGAAAGTTTACATTCAATATTTCAATAGACTATCTAGAAGTATTTCAAAATTTAAATGTTCTTGTGATTATCTATCCCATAATTAGGTTTACTTGTTTCCTAATAAGTCTACTCTAACTGGGAGTAATAACCTTAGACTTTTGTGTAGCCTCATGTGAATGTCATGCCTATTTCCAGTGAGTAAAAAGTACCAATAATTATGTACATCTAAATAATCCTAAAGTTGGAGAAGACATTATGTAGGGTTGTGCTAAACTTCTCTTGCGTGTGGAAAATCAAATTACTAAAACAGGCTTCACTTGGATATATCATACCCAAATTATTTCATAAAAACAAGATAACATTACCAAAACCCTAACTAATTAATCCTTCTTAATTAAGTATGGTGTTATGAGGCATATTCTCGACTTTAGTATCGTATCTCATGAAGCACAGACACTGACACATAAATTTATCTGATATCGTTGTAAATAAAATATTCTCGATAATAATATTGTCTTTATATTTTCACTTTTATTGTTAGTATTTCTTTTTGGATATCTAAGAGATATGGCACATTAATTTGTTGGAGGCCTAATCAGATTAGTTAAGTTTACCAAACAGACACAAAGGAAAGTTGAAAGGTTGTCATGAGATGATTATGTCAAAATCAAATTATTAGTGCATTCCATCTTGATCATAATATTATAACTAGTATTAATCTAGCTAGGTTTGGGGACATATACAATTATACTGTACATATCATTATGTTGCTTTTGTCATTTACTGTTTCTAATGAAATTTCAGTCACCTATTGATTATAGCATGTATAAACTCATCATTATTTCAGTCTCATAATTGTTATAACATGTATGTATACATTTTCTTGTCAAATTGCATGTCTACTATATATCTAAATCATCTTTGTTGTATATTTCTTCCAGAATGGATCTTAAATTAAGTGTATAATATTTGGATCATCAATTTAATCACAATTGCATCAAAACAGCATTGGAACGTGGTATGTCGATGAAAACGCCATACCAAACTTCGACATACCAAACATACTCTTATATAATAAATAATTAATGTAAGAATGTACTAACTAATTAGATTAATTAACTGATGTAACCAACTAATTTCACATATCATAAAACCTGTGCTATGAAGGACAAGGGTGGATATGAGCTTCCATGGTGGATTAGCAAAATTGGCCGGGCCTCGGTCCATTTTAGAATAAAAATTATTCTGACGTGGAATAAGAATTGATTAAAGAATTGACGATTTGAAGAACGATTGTAGATTTGGATTTTTATTATGGAAAAGGAAGGACTAACATACAAGGTTATCAATATAAAAAAAAAGAAAAAAATTTCCATGTGCTTAGAGAGAAATGACTCTCTCTCTCTCTCTCTCTCTCTCTCTCTCTCTCTCTCTCTCTCTCTCTCTCTCTCTCTCTAAACTTAGTGTGTAAAATTCCTCCTCCCCTCTAGGATTTCCTTTTGAGGGTGACAGCGGCTTTCTCCAGATTTCTACTAGTCTTTTCACCCTTGTGGTCGCTCTCTCCCGCTTGGAAGATTTCTGAGGTGGTGACTTTTTCTTCTGGGTGTTTCGATTGAGATGGCAAGTACAGAAAAATGGAGGAATATTCTTCTGACGAAGGAGGAGGAAGAAAGAGTTGAGGTGGCCGGAGATGAAGTTAGCAGGGAACAGATCTTTCAAAGAACTCTCGCAGAAAAGCTATGGATCGAAAGTAGCTTCAACACAAGGGCTTTCCTCAATACGATGCTCGATACTTGGAAGGTCAAAAACCCGGTCGAGACTCAAGAGTTAAGCAATAACCTGTTCTTATTCCGTTTTGCATCAAAAAGAGATCTTGAGTTCGTGATGAGAAGTGGACCGTGGAGTTTCAATCGTAATCTCTTATTTTTGGCACGAATCTCAGGTGAAGAACAACCATCTGCTATCAACATGCACTATAGCGTATTTTGGGTTCGTATATATGAACTGCCACTTATGCTCAGATCTGAGGCGATGGCAAAGAAAATCGGAGGTATCATTGGAGTCTTTGAGGAGATGGACCTAAAAGAAGCACACAAAAACGGGAGATTCCTTCGTATCAAAGTGACTATGGATCTAAAGCAACCTCTAAAGAGGGGGACGATGGTCAAATTCAAGGAAAAACGCTGCGAGTTCACTTTAAATATGAACTCTTCCCACCTTTTGTTTCATTTGCGGACGAATAGACCATAAATTAAAGGATTGTGAAGCCTTAGGCGACATAAGTGGAGAAGGCTTCGAAGATATTAAAGAACAAGATATTTTGTTTGGCTTATGGCTGAAGGCCTCTCCCCTACCCAGAACGTTGGAAGAGTCATAGAGGAGAGAATCCAGTTCTGGAAATTGTAATAAAAGTCTGTTTAATATTTCGTCGGGGCAAAGCAAATGTGAAGGCAGAGGGAAAGAGAAAGAAGGGGGTGGAAGTTGAGCAGAGCATAAACAACCCAAAGCAACCTGAGAAGAATAGGAAAGAGACTATAAATCCGACTCAAGTATATGCCTTAGATGTCAAATTGGTGGCTGAATCATTAGGGGAAGTTGAGATATCCAAGGAAGGAGTAAAAGGGGAAACAAATAGCAAAACTGTTGCCAAGAAGAGAAAATGGACTAGACGGAAACTAGTTAGAAAAGGGAATTCTTCCCAACAACATATTACATAAGAAGAGTTTGGTAAGAGACCACTTGTTGACGTTATGATAACAAAAGGTTCCTTGGAAGACATCGGGGAGAAGAAGAGGAAACAAAATGGGGAAGTGACAACCG